ACAAATATATATATTGAAAATACATATTTTACATAGAAATTAATGAAAGGGTTGGTACCTTTAATGGCATTGAAGAGAATTACATTGTTGAGGTCCTGTGGAAGAAGTAACAAATTAATTAGTCCTAATTAAGGAGCCACAGAGAATGACAATGACTAGAACGATATGAATACGAACACTGATATGTGACGATTAAAAAATATGATTATAGAGATAAATAAAAAAACAAAAATTGATGACAAACAAAAAGTTAGTTAAACTTATATTTAGCATTATAGTTATGATTAAATAAAATAAATAATAAAAAAAATGACAGTGAAATACAAATCAATGCCACCCGAGGTAATTTTCATGGGACACACCACCTGAATGTATGTAATAAAGTCGTAATACAAAAGGGGTCAAAGCCAAGTACACCGCCCAATGAGAGACAGAATCCAAAAGGAAAAATGCATTTAAAGCCAGAACATTCAAAGTTTTTAGGTTTTCTTTAATTAAAATAATTAAACCTGATCAAAATCAATTAAATTCGAAATTCAGAATCTTTCAACTTTCTTTTCTCTTCATGTCTCAACATCATCACGAGTTCATGACTAACAATTAAATATAAAACTCAAACACTACAACAAATAGAATCCAAAAACATTCATAATTAAACAAAACCACAAAACATAAGGGGAAAAAAAAAAGTTTCACCACAAAATTGCACAAAGTCACACACACCAGTGCATGCATGTGTGTTGATCTGACGACTAAAACTATCGTGGGTCACTACCGATGGGTAGAGTAAAATTGAACCTCTTTTCAACTTTATTTTGTTTTTTTTTTTGTTTTTTTTGTTTTTTTTTNTTTTCAACACAACAAAAAAGAAGAGATAGATCAACATACCACATTCAAAAGAGAAGCCATGCCCCAACTACAAGTCCCATAATCACACTTATCGTCCCCCGGCCACAAGTCCAAATTCGCGCACACGAAATTCTCATCAGTCTCTGCAATATAATTTTCCCCATCGATCAAAACCGTGCCATCAACCACCATACAATCTCCACACACGAACCTCATCAAACACACAATCACGACACAACACGGCAAAACACGCGCCAACAAACCCATATTATTACAAATATATGATAAACTAACACGTGTCGTAAAATTCGATTTGGCACGATTTTTATTTTTTTGTTACCTAAGCACGAATGTACCTGTACCTTTATATATTAGCCCACAAAACTATTGAAAAACGAGAGGACACGGCTACGAATTCTTTGCGTGCGTCCTTCTGAAGTACCGAACGTGTTGTGTTATTGTGTCGACCATCGTATTTTGTGCACACGAATGTATGTCGTTTTCGACAAGAGATGATGGTTAGGATATGCAATGAAAAGTTCCATTTTGATACGAGAATTTAAGAGAGTTGCAATTTTTCTTTACGTATACAGCGCATATTTTTACCTTATTAATTAACAATTTAGGCCAATTTGAATGTTTGGTAGTCTGGATAATTATTAGGTTGCTCCCACGCTACTGAGGATATTAAAGACTCGAGTAGGACCGGAGTGTGTAAGTTGGGCAATTGTTTTTAGTCAAATTTTGTGAAATTAGTAATTACTTCTTCTTTTTCCTACCGTCTTATATGGTGACAATCAGAACTTGCCTTGGTTGTTAAACGGAGCGGATCCGAATTGCTACTTTTAGCAAAATCTTACCCATGCTACTATTTATATTGTCCATGACTATCTCACATTTATCGTACGGATGTATTCATTTGAGATTTCGAGTGACATTTTGAGACATTTTTAAAAATTGTTAGGATTTCAAATTCAGGAACAATCTTAATTAAATTTTAATTCTGATGATGGGATTTGGAGTGAGATTTCCTATATTATTTTTCTCTTTTGAAATCTCAATAGATTTTAAAGAGTCTTAACAAATCATAGAAAATTAAATATCTCATGATTTTATAAGACTTTTTAAACTCTCATATGATTAGCTCGAGACTTTTAAAAGTCTTAAAATGTCTAAAGTAAATACACGAGAATTTCTGAAGTCTTAAACAGTCTTCAAAAATTTCATATGAATACACCCTTTATCTTGTCTAGAATATTATTTGTCGTGGGCTTTAGTTGCACTGTCCAAATGGGTCAATTATTCCTGGTTCGTCCATCAACTTAAACGGACGGGCTTAAGCCCTTATTTGCCCAATTTGTTTAATAACGGGCCAAATCAGACTGCCATATTCAGATACAAGCTTCAGGTTCAAATAGGGAGGTCAAAAGCCGAATCAACTAATAGCCCAACTCAAGGAGATCCTTAGCCGGACCCAAAAGATGAAGATGCAGGCCCAATAGCATTGCCAAAAGTTCATGCTCCAACAACAAATCATCATTGGGGCCAAAATTTCAGCATCTCCAGAATAACCATAACGGGTTCTGAACGGATTCTGGCCTTGAACGTCTTGAACCATAAAAACCGAATCAGTCTGCAAGAGTTGGGGAGGGGCCCCGAAGTTAGATACCAAGTCACACATCAAATCATCGAGAAAATTATGTAAGCAAGAGATATTATTTTAGAAAATGAATTTTGATCCCTTACATATAATAATATACTTCTCTAGAATTCACAAATATAGGGGCGTGGCAAATTTTTTTTTTTATTTTTATTTTTTTTATTTGCTACTACATGTCATGTTGAGCTTTTATTCAAACCAAATTGTTAGTTTATACAACTTAATTCGTTTCGAGCTTGACTCTTTTAAATGAGTCAAACATATTTATTAAATAAACCGTGCCAAACATACTCATTTATTGCAAATACTAATATATATATGGAGGGCAAACCATTAGACATGTCAATTCGGCATACTTTCTATACGATATGTTCCTTATATTTTGTAGAGGTATATCAGTCATTGAATATGTTATACTAATAAATCAGATTATATATGTTGTAGATTTCATCATATATTTAAATAAATGAGATGAAGTAATAATAGTTTCTCAAATAAAGTGCTCAATGTGAATCCTATTTAAAAAGATAATAGAAATACAAAAAAAAAATGACAAGTTAAGCTATAACGTTGAAAAAATGCTTACTAAAGATTAAATCATGTTCAAATATACTTTGTTTTAATCTAAAATAACTTTGAATTAATTTAATCCAAATAAATTAATGTAACATAAATCAAATTAATATAATATCAACTAAAATATTTTTAACTGCTAATATTTAAAAAAGATAACAAAAAAAAAGGTTGGACTGGAGCGAGACCCAACCTTGTCAAAAACACAAATGTGTAGATAAAATTAGATATTATCTATACACTTCAAATAATACTATATATCACAGTCCGAATAATTTAATTATTTAATACAATAAAACCCAAGCTAAAAAATGGTCGAATGAACTTATAAACCTTCGTTTTACATTCTCAATACTTCACATCATCCAAACTTCATTCTTACTCGTAATATCCCAAAGCTCAGGTAATCATAAACTTTAGAAACCATCTTTTATTGAGTTTCAGATGTTTCCACTTACTTTATTTTATACATCAATGTGATTTTTAAAAAAAAAACAAAAAAACAAAAGTAACACATAAAAAATAATAAAAATTTAGGTGGCATGAGGAGACTCCACATCACATTGTTCCCTACGAGTTTTATTGAAGATTTGAAAAATGTAAATTTGATTTGCAAATGTAAACCTCAGAACTTATATAATTTAGTCGTAAAAAATAAAAAGTGAGGTTTATAAATCTCATCAAAAACCTCCACTAAAATGATCTAATAACCAAAATACAAAACGTCCATGTTCTAAAAATCATGCTAAAATATCTTGTGATGATGGCAAAATATCATTGTCATGGCCATTTGTCTTTCACTAAAGCGAATATATGAATCTGGAGAAAGTGAAATGAAATGAAAATTTATGCATAGTTCTCAATTATTTGGACAAAATAATGCCACGTACAAGGCCTCTTAACGACCTTTCAACCAGTCATGAAGAAGCCACGTTTTAGGTAGCGTATGGTAGTTAACAATAGATTTAACCTTTTTATTTTGAAATTTTTATAAAAAGGCAAATAATAGACAGCTTTTTATTGTACATTTGTACTAATAACACAAAATGCCGTTCCAAGATTTCGGCTGTCCAATTCTTTTTCTCTATTTAATTGGGATTTTTGGACCATGGGAACTAATAAAAATAAATATTTCCAACAAGGACCGACCATGATAGCAAAGTCTTCTCTAGATGTATCATATAATCTATATTTAGAGGGAAAAACACTACTAAAATTGCAATATTTAATATTTCAGAACATCAGAAATTTTTCGGATAGCTCCCTTATGGATTCATTCATAACTTTATATATTGACACATGTCAAATGTGTATTTATTATAGGACACGTGTCAATACACTATTTGTGTATAATTATGGATGACTCCATAAACCGAGCCATCTGATGTTCGAAACATTGTGAAGTTTGGTAACAGTTTGAGACACGATATTTAGGTTGACATCATGTAATTTTTTTTGTCTTTTTTTTTTCAGTTCTTTGTAGACAAAATCTAGATATCCTAATGGAGGTAAATACAAAATACTCTGTCGAATTTTTTTTTTTTTTTAAATTTCAGTAAATATTTTTGTTGTTCGTTAAAATATTTTCCCTGTCAATGATTATCAATTTGTCAAAATTGTCAAAACACAACAGAAATTTCAATGAAAACCAATTTCTATTCTCGTTTGAATTTGATGATCTTCTAGTAATTTCGAAAAGAAAGATAAAATAGTATGAAAAATATGGGTTTTGGAAGAGGTCGAATAAATTTTGATTGTGAAGCTATATAAAATAATAATGTACATATGCATATATATTTTAATTATATTATTTTTATAGTAATGTGAAAAAGAAAAGTAATCATATCCTATTATACAACAACAACAACAACAACAATAACAAAAACAACAATAACAAAAACAACAACAACAATAATAATAATAATAATAATAATAATAATAATAATAATAATAATAATAATAATAATAATAATAATAGCAATAGTAGTGAAAATAAAAGGCGACAATTTAGTAAAATTCGATCATACTGGTCAGGGCAATGTCATTATCGAATTTTGGTATATTAGAATATCATTTGTGAATTTTCGTTTATGCAGAGAAAATAGGCCTAACTTATAAGCCAGTGGACCACTCCTCATACTATCAATTGGTTTTAGAATGGAGCCTCATTAAAGCGCATCCAGACTCAATTTCTTATTGTGCACTTCATGTGCTTGCTCCTCCTACTATCAATTTTGAGATGGAACCTCATCAAATCACATTCAGACTCACCCTCTTATGGTGCACTTCATGTGCTTGGACCCGCACTCGATTCCCCCGATTCTTTCATGGTATCAGAGCGGACCTACGTTGGTGTACCCGTTACCCGACATGCGTGGTTTTGGCTTCGTATGAAAGATTCACAAGTAAGAGAGCTTATTAGACTTGTGAGTTATCTCACATCCTTTATACAAAGTAAATAGACAGAATTTATAAATCTAGTGACTTACTTTTCTTACTACCAATTAGTTTTAAATGAAACCTCACTAAGGTACATCTAAACTCAATCTAAGCTCATCCTCATATAGTGCGTTTTTTGTGTGTGGGACCACACATGTTTCTCCGATGCATGGTACTATCGACATATATTCATATAAATGTGTGTATATATTCTCATGTAGATCCAATTTTCCAGCAATTATAGGAAAAATCACCATGAGCCTAGAAATTGCTTGGAGATTTATTTGATCATGAGTAGGTATTTTTCACCAAACCGACAAAAAACTGCAAAAATATCAAATAGCACCCGCATCTAACCCCACCCCACCCCACCCCAAGTCAAAACCCTGCAAGAATAATGGCCATAAACCACAAATTTCCCACATTTTATTTGCAGTACCCATGCCTTTCACAAGCACTAATTTATTCATTTTTTTTTTTTAAGAACGAAATAAAGAATCTTTCGTTCACACACAACTAAAACCGACTCATAACAATACATTAATGTAACATCGATTTTTGGCCAACGAGGTCTAATTGTTATGTAGATCGCTTTATAAAAAAATAAAAAATCTTTTCTTAGGGTTTGAAACATTAAGTATTTTTATTTTATTATTTTTTTTAATATAAATCACGACTTATCATTTATAACTTAGTAGCTGTATAACAAGCAATTTACTATTACAAATATAAATAAAACAGAAAAAGTTCCAATATCCTCTCTCTCATCAGTTATCACAGCCATAAACAACATATTCTGAGAATCTCCTTCCCCATATCCAGAGCCAAAAGCCTGAGCACAATTTGCAGTCATATTTTTGCTGAAATAAAATATACTCTCATTCAAAAAGCAAGCCATAGAGAGAAATAAATTTCTTGTGGCTGCCCAGAAGTGAGAAGTTTATTAACTTTACATACATAATACAGAAAGAAGAGAGAGACATGTGTATTCAAGAAGCAGAGCAAGTGACTGAGGGAATGGAGGACATGGGCTTCGAAGAAGATGATGATAATCCTAGCTTCAAGCCCATGCCATGCAATTCTCAACTAGATTTCTCCAATACTCACACTCCAAATTCATTCCAGGTTAGTTGAAATTCTTCAATCACTTTTAGGTTTTTAGTATGATTTGAATGTTAATTGGTATGTATTTCTTGTGAAGTGAGTGTTATGAAATTATGTTCTCCAGTTTTTGGGTGGTTGATTTATTAGTTTCAGGTTTATGAGGTGAAAAAAAGAAAGGGATAGAACAAAAAAGATTTTGGCTTTCTTGGTGGTAGAAAATGTTGTTCTCATATGAGCTGTAGAGAAAGATTGCAGCTTTTTTGGGTATTTGTTAATTTTTTTTGGCAAAATTGTTGTTTTGGATCCTTTGCTTCAAGTGGGTTTGGTGTTTGATTGAAATATGTGGTGAATTGGAGATGGGAAAATTTGTGGGTGTGTGATGATTGGTCTTTTTTTAACCAATCAGATTATTTGTAGAGAAAGATTGCAGCTTTTTTGGGTATTTGTAAATTTGTTTGGCAAGATTGTTGCTTTGGATCCTTGGCTTCAAGTGGGTTTGGTTTTTGATTGAAACATGTTGTGAATTAGAGATGGGAGAATTTGTGGGTGTGTGATATGATTGGTCTTTTTTTAACTAATCAGATTATGTGTCTTTATGGTTGGGCTCATTGTAAACCTGGATTTCATAGTATAGTTTGTAGCCTTCTGATTGACTAGTGATTAGTAGTTCTTACTTTTAAATGTTGATGACAAACTCCAGGGAAAACTCAATTTGCGATCATATGCTGAACCATGATATAATAGCTATCTTTGCAAATTTTTCGAATGAACGACAAATTGTACTAACCTTAATACTGTTCCGAACATTGTTTTTCATTTCCCTGAACCTTAGGGAGAGGAGAGATGTATAAACTTTCTTTGCATAGCTATGCGAAAAGTCCTTTTATTTTTTATTTTTCCTTAATTTTGTCGGGAAAAACACTAAAAGGCCGTTGAGCTCGTGTTGAGTTCCTTCTCATCAGCAGTCTTTGATATTTTGTTTCACTTTTCAGCTGGAAAGCATTTGCGAGAACTCCACTGTTTCTGAAAGAATGCACTTTGTCCCTATCCTGCGATCAGGAGATTGGTCGGATATTGGAGGCCGATTGGATATGGAGGACACTCATATTTGTATTCCGGACTTGGCTTCTAACTTTGGTTACGATTTAAGTGGTGCAGATGCTATATCCTTTTATGGCGTAAGTTCTTTAACCTCTTTGTTTGTTCATCTTTTTTCTTTACTGTTCTTTTTTATCATTTTTTATATCCAGTGCTTACAGTATGAACAACTAAACTTATTTTTCAGTCATTCGAAATTTAAATCATGAACGTAAGATTTAAGAACAAAGACTAAAGCTTCTCCGAAGAAATTGCAAATTTGTCCTTATTGAGCTTGATCTTGTTGAATGTCGATGGTTGAAGCAACAAACTTCTATATCTTGCTTGATTAATTCTCATCATACGCTTTATCTTGCTTGCTCGAATAACGGATATTTCAAGGATTTGGGTTTCATATTGATTACTTGCAATGTACCAAGAAGCTGCATTTTTATTTCTTCTTTTAAGATAGACAGTCGAATTGTTTGTTAGAGTTTCTAACTTTTTTCTGATTCTTGGGTTTGAGGACAGGTGTTTGACGGGCATGGCGGGAAATGTGCAGCTCAGTTTGCACGTGATCACTTGCCGAGAATTATTGTTGAGGATGCCGATTTTCCCTTGGAACTCGAGAAGGTGGTCACGAGATCTTTCATCGAGACTGATGCCGCTTTTGCAAAATCTTGTGAAATTGAGTCCAATCTATCATCTGGAACAACTGCCCTAACCGCTATGATTTTCGGCAGGTAAAAAACCGCTTCATGTCAGACTTTTTCTAGGCTATGTTTGGTAAACCTAGCTGAAAACAAATAAGTTAGCTAATAGCTTTTAAGTGAATTTCTAGCTGATAGCTTATGACTTATGACTGAAAAACTGGTTTATATGATAAAAGTGTATGGTAAAATTAGTTGATAATAATCTAGCTGAAAATAAATTTTTTAACGGGATTATTTGAAAAACTCTCCAAGGAAAGCTTATGAGATAAGCTCGAGCTTTTTTTTTTTAAAAAAAAAATCGTCCTACCAAACCAAGTTTATTTAAATACATGAAGCTTATACGCTAATCAAATAAGTTATAGCTAATCAAATAAATTATAATCTTAGCTTATGGTGCTTACCACATTATAGTTGTCCATATTATGTTCTACACTAAAAATTAAAAATGTAATGATTAAAGTCGACAAAATATAGGAATATTTAAACAACGAATTAAAATTATCGGTAAATAATAATCAGATCATTGCTCGTTGCAAATGCGGGAGACTGTCGAGCCGTGCTATCTCGATCCGGATTCGCCATTGAGATGTCAAATGACCACCGTCCTACTTGCTTGAACGAGCGGTCGAGAGTCGAGTCTCTCGGTGCTTACGTGGACGATGGGTACTTGAACGGCCAGCTGGCGGTGACTCGGGCTTTGGGCAATTGGCACATCAAGGGCCTAAAGGGGCCCGAAAATGACGGGCCACTCGTTGCCGAGCCCGAGCTTAAGCTGATCACACTCACAAAGGAGGACGAGTTCTTGATCATTGCAAGTGACGGTATATGGGATGTGTTCAGAAGTCAAAACGCGGTGGATTTCGCGAGGAGACGGTTAAAGGAGCACAATAATGTGAGGCTGTGTTGTAAGGAGATCGTGAACGAGGCCAAGAAACGTGGGGCCACCGATAATTTGACTGTGGTGGTCGTGTGTTTTCATACGGACCCGCCAAAGTCGGTTGTGGTGCAGAGGGGTCGGGTGAGGAGGTCTATTTCTGCAGAAGGGCTTCAAAACCTGAATTTTCTACTTCAAGGCTAAAATAAATAAATACAAACTGTTCATTTTTTTTCTCCATGGTTTCGAAAGCTGGCATCGTGGTGAGTGAGAGTTTTTGGAGATATATGATACGAGAGACGATAAATTTGGTGTTGTCGGTAACTTGTAAATGTGCCGTTTTGATACTTTGAAAGCTTCCATTTGATTGTTCAACGGGAATAAAGCATGAGTATAAGATTCATGTAGGTGTTGCAAGGCATAATAAAAGGAGGGGCGGCTATTGTAAATGGACACAATTGTAATGACTGAATATTTCATTCTGATAAACAAATTTTTATGTATCATTTGAACTTTTGGCCATCCATCAGTTTTTCTAGATTATATTTCGCACTATATATTTAATTTTAGCTTTCCATATATCTTTTTTTTTTTTCTTTTAACTAGATTATATTTCGCACTATATATTTAATTTTAGCTATCCATATATATATTTTTATTTTTTATTTTTTTGTGGCTTTTGAAGCTACTGCAAAATTGTGTCCTTTCGTGCCCTTAACTAGCTTTGCTAACCAGTTTATACATTATACTGGAATCTAGATTATACATTTTTGCATTACATAAGCCAAACTTATTGTCCTTAGAAGATCTTCATCATACTGGATTTTATTGTCCTGATCTTCATCATACTGCATTTATTGTCCTTAGAAGATCTTCATCATACTGGATTTTATTGTCCTGATCTTCATCATACTGCATTTAATTTAGTTGCTTCCATTAGAACAAGAGTAAGTGATAAAAGTTCCCCATTTGGATCCACAATGCACACGACCCAAAATGTTTGCTTCCATTAGAACAAGAGTAAGTGAAAAGTTCCCCATTCGGATCCACAATGCACATGACCCAAAATGTTTTATATCCAAAATGTTCTTAGAGCACCGATCGCTTTTTATATCACTCATAGTCAGAAGACAAATTATATGTTTTCCATTCCAGCTTTTATATCACTCATAGTCAGAAGTTCCATTCCAGCTTTTATATCACTCATAGTCAGAAGACAAATTATATGCTTTCAATTCCAGCTTCAATGTTAGTTTACCGTGTTGTTATCCTAACTTGAAGTACAAGTATCAACTAGGAGATTTTATATCACTCATAGTCAGAAGACAAATTATATGTTTTCCATTCCAGCTTTTATATCACTCATAGTCAGAAGACAAATTATATGCTTTCAATTCCAGCTTCAGTGTTAGTTTACCGTGCTTGTTATCCTAACTTGAAGTATCAGGAGATAACTAGGAGATCCTAACTTGAAGTACAAGTATCAACTAGGAGTATATGCAATTGAACAGATCATACACACGAGTATATGACTTTCATGTTTTTTATTTATTGATGTACTATAATTTTATTTTGTAATTTTTTTAATATTAAAATAAACTTATATATATAAAAATTTACTATAATTTTTTGTAGGGTAATACACATCTTAATATAACAAATTAATTTATAATAAAATGATAAATGGTTGGACGAACAAGCATTAACATAAGGAATTTATTTTAATGACTTACATTATATATTGAAATTTTTCTTAAATCTTAGTTAATATTCTAGTAATTCCATAATATTTTAATAAATACTTGATACATGTTCTAGTAAATAATATAATCTTAGATTAGCATAATTAATTTGTTTTAATGACTTACGATATAAATTGAAATTTTTCTTAAATCTTAGTTAATATTTTCGTATATCTGTAATATTTTAGTAAATACTTGATACATGTTCTAGTAAATAATATAATTATACTTGATATATGTTTTAGTAAATAGTATAATCTTTATTTACATATTGTTGTACTTAATATAATGATAATAATTTAAATAATAAAAACGTTTAAAACAATATTTCTAATTAAATTACATTTGTAATATTAAAATAATTTAAAATACTGAGAATAAAAAGAAATATTTTGTGAAGTAAAAATGTAGCGCAAACAGTTGAAGACGAAACTTGATTTTTGTTTTGGAGGCGAACTTCTCTACTAAATAAACTCTGAATAAACTCTGCACTAGAGTAGAGATAATGGCTGAAGTGGGCCTCAATACTGCACTTTAGACGCACGTAAACACAAGTCGAAGAATGCAGCGATTTCGAATGAAAATATTGATTCCTTTGGAACTTGCACAATTCACAATAGCAGTTCTGAATGCCAAAAGTGCAGCAGAATATTATTTAAGCCGTTCATAAGAGAAGGGTAAAATGGCAAGAGCCAGATGAATTCACCCATATATCGAACTACAAGTCACCATCTGAACTTACAAATGTACATGTATAATGTATTATTACAAATCTTCGTGTCTAAAATCAATTCTTGAAAAAATTCTCAGGCGACCGAACCGAATACGAAAAAAAACCTGTCATCGTGAAATATCTCCAAATCAAATAACTTCCTAGTAATCGTGTATATACGCACGTGTGGATTGCACGACAATATACCTTTTGCCTCAGGCTCTCTGAAAAAAAAAATCATAGCAGCCATCGAAAAATGTTATAAACGAACGATCACGCGCAGCCAAAGCCACCTACCCTGACTCACCTTCCCTTCAATCTCATTCTTCACCACACGTATCAACAAAAAACCAGCAAAACTAATCGAGACAATAAGCATGAAGAACACACTATTCCAACCTTTGGTCAAAATATACCCGGCAAGAAGTGGGCCCAAGGCAGCACCCACAGAGCCCGTACCATCAATAATTGCCGTGACTGTGGCCAATGCACGTGAGTTCCCCAAAACCGTGCTCTGCGTGCCAAGATCAGCTGCAACAGCTGTCGTTATTAGGGAGTAAGGCCCGTTAACAAGCAAGCCTGATAGAAACATTAATGACGTGTTTGCCAGCATGGATATGTTACCATAAACACGGTAGATTATGAGGGATGGGATAGAGAGGAATAGGAACAGAATAGAAGTCATGGCTCGGGCCTCAATTAGGTCGGATATGAGGCCCGCCGAAATTCCACCAAAAACTCCTCCAATGTCGAAGATTGTCGAGAGGATCCCTGCAGTTTTGTGCGAGAGGTGAACCCCAGCAACAGCTGCAAATTTTACGAGAAGCAAAACGTTTAAATTATAAACTTCATTAAGCAGATGCAGAACTCTAGCTAAAGGTAAATTGGCTTCCTATAGCAAGTTCACATTTTCTTGCATCGACGGACTTAATATTTTCTAATAGTTGCACAAACTAAAGGTAAATTATGACCGAACCATTCAGACACGTGTAAAAACTAAAATATGCGGATCCAATCACGATTCTATAATAAGAACAAGAGATTTTTCTCAATCAAAATCCCCTTGCCTTGAATTCTTCGAGAATCAGAAAGTTCCTTTTCAATTTTGAATTTGTAAATCGTACTTTGGGCTGGAGCAATGAAACTATTTGAAGTGGCTCATTTTGTACCAGAGAAGTAAACTCAATACCCTTCCTGCTGCAGCTTAAAGCCAAATTAATATTAGTTACTCCAAAGTCCACATTTCCAAACACGTTCAAGCATTCAAATTTATCTCCCTAGGCTTCACTCTCGACAATAAAAACAGTAAAAAAAAACAAAACCGAAACACACTCAACACCTGTGTGTCTAATGTAAAACGGCAGCCAATACAAAAACGTGTACGCGACAAGCTTCGAGAAGAACAAGCAGAACGCATAAGATGCCACATAAGGAAGCCTCCACGCATCCAAAAAACCTATGGCCCCCGAGCTCTCATCATCTGTGGGATCCCCCACAATACCATCCACAACACCCTCATGTTTTTCAGACCCGACCAATGCCAAACCCTCCACACTCATCTCAACATCCCCACCAGACGACTCGAACCCGATAATCTCAGGATGCACAACAAGAAACCAGTAAACAAAACCCGACACTACCACAATAAGCCCGCCGGGCAGAAGAAAAGACCATCCCCACCCGAAGCCCAATACAGAGGAAGCTATCACGGACCCGATAATGTTACCCACAGAGGTGTGGGAATTCCATGCACCCATTATCAGCCCTCTCTTGGCCTTCCCGAACCAGTTGCCCACAACAGCCACCACGCAAGGCCAGCCGATGGACTGAAACAGCCCACAGAACACCTGAATGAACACAAACGCGGCGAACGAGTGCAGATCGAGAAAATAGCACATCCCGAAGAGGATCACGAAGGCGCCGCTGCCCACCATCCCGACGGTGAGGAAGACCCTCAGATCAACCGTGTCGCCGATGTGGCCGGAGAAGTACATCCCGACGGCGTAAGACAGCAGGAAGGAGAGATCCAGCTCGCCGAGGCGGTGGGGCCCACGCGGTCCGTCGAACGGGGCCCACCCGGTCTCGTTGTGAAGTGGGTTCGGGGCGGATTTGAAGTGAAATTGATCGGAATCGGAGGAGTTTCCGGCTAGGGTTTGGTTGGGCGGGGCAGTGAGGATCGATTTGACTATGCTGGGGGGTTTGCGGGAGGCGTGGAAGGCGGCGTAGGCGGAGAATGTGAGGGCGAGGACGAGGAATTGGTGGAATTTGTAGGTTTTTTCAGGGGCGGCCAAGAATCTCAGGCCAGGTGGCGGCTGTGATGGTGGAACATGATGATGGTTTATCATAATGCTAAATTGGGAAAGGTTTAATCTTTAGGATTTGTTTGGCTCAGATTAAGGAATTAGATGATCTTGAATTTGAGTTTTTGCAGTAGCCTGAGATTGAATTGTTTGAAAAGTGATGTCAATTGAATTTTTCTAACATCGTTGGGCAATGGTTGTTTTCATTTCATTGGTCAATTTGGGACTTTGAACATTAGAGTAAACAATAAGACATGATTTGGAATTATTTTATGTGGATTTTTATTGCTTGTTGTAGATCAAGTCTGAAACTTTGTGGGCCGTGGCATACATCCTCCTTGAAATGTGAATGTTTGAAGTTTGAACTACACAAAATTTTCACGCGAGTTCAGTTTAATGGTTAGGCGGTCAATCTTTCCAACGTCTTAAACTCTTAAATAAAAAAATTGTCTAACTGAAAAATATTTTACTTTTATTTATGCTAATTTTTAAATAAATTACTTATATATGAAAGTATAAATAATTTTAGAAAAAATATAATTGTATAACGGTTGCATCTATTTAATATAAGTCTTACGGTTTCACTATGGTTTGCCGTAAGAGAAATATATAAAGCATAGAGTTCTTCACTGGATCAGGGATTGACTTATTTGGCTATGACAATGAAAATGAGAGAGCCTTGTCAGAAAACTTTACCTTATTTTTTCACTCCAGGCAACATTTTGACCCTAAAATCTATTTAGAATCTAATGTAGAGTTGTATAATATTCACATAAAGTTGTCAATTTATCATCACATATACCTACCAAATGTTAGGTAATCTGCCAACCTATCCTACGATGAGCAAAAATGCTCAAATATGATGATTTTCGAACATAAGACTATATATAGTCCTATTGGCTGATTAAGAGAATATGTGTATGTAAATATGTGTATTAGAACACTTATCTATATTCAAAAAATAGAAAATGTACTGTTCACAAAATTAAAATGTAATTGTTCATAGAGATTTTAAATGGTCTTTGGCCCGACGGGCGGCTCGTTTAGCCAAGAAAAAAAAGAGGGTTAGGTCCTTTTATTAGTAACCGTTTAAATCAGGGCTTTTTAGGTCCGGACCGTTTAGCCCGAAGCCCGCTAGGGCTAGCCCGGAACCCGCTAAGGTTGGGCGGTGTAAATGTTTGCATGAAATAAGTAATATGCTCTTAAATTCCTTATATATTACAATTTTGATATTCCACTTCACATGTAAATACGATTTGTAATGGATTATTATGATTTTGAAAGATAATTATTAACAATATTGTTATTGTACTTCAACCAAAATATTTAAGCCAATCAAAACGATTAATAAGAAATACATGAAACATAGTGATATAGCTGTGAAATTTTTAACTAGTCGTTGTTATTTTTTTTTATATTTTTCTCTTTTTATTTTTTATTTTTTATATATTATTATTATTATTATTATTATTATTATAGCCATAGCCCGCATAGTCCGTTTAGCCCGTAGCTCGTTAGGGTTAGGGTTAGGTCTTTTTTTTGGTAGTCCGTTTAAATCCGGGCTTTTTAGGCCCGGAACGTTTAACCCGAAACCGCTAAGGCTAGCCCGTTTAACATCTCTAATTGTTCATGATGATAAACCTAAAATATATTTGAAAATAGAATTTGGATATAGAAATTTTAGTTTGGGCTAATCGAGGCTTGAGGTCTAGAAGGATGCTAGATTGCTACATTTCAAAATATTACATATATCTTTCCAAGAACTATATGGATAGCTTTTTTATGATGATGATTGTGCTTATTTCATTTCAGACTTTCAGTTCTTTATATACTACTTCACTCTAAAAGATAAATAAAAGGCAGAAATATATAGATGAACCTGAAAATGAAAGGAGAGACCAAAATGAGATTATAAGAAATTTGATTGCACTTTAAAAATTGCACAATTGACCTAAAGGAAGGTGAGTTATGGGAGTGTTATCCTTGAGTGCTTGAAGTTAAATGTGCTCAAGTATAATAAGCTAACATCTAAAAATACAAGATACAACAGAAAAAGTTTGAGGAAAAATTATAAAATGTCATATAACATTATCCTACAAGGCTACTGCCCTCTTGAAAGGCTTATTATCCCGAACACGATCGATCGAAGCCAAACAAGACCCAAAAATCTTGCAAAAGTTAAAAAATAACAATAATCAAAGTAAAAGAAACTTGTGTAGTTTTCATGCAATATTTTTCTTGGATCTTTTTCTCAAAATCCGGGTCATGGCGTAAGCTAGCGACATGGCCGGGTTCACCCTAACCGACCCATTGAAGGCCTTACAAACTTTCATGTGAACATTTAGAGCCTCCTCACGAATGATATTCCTTATGCCTCCAAGCTTGTACGACTCCTCGTTTATCGCCTCGGAGCAAAGCCCGCAAACCCATTTTCCATAAAAACGGGCTCTCGTGAGGCGTATGTAAGCTCCCGTGCAGTCTTCAGAAAGGCCACAACACTCGCACTCGACCGATCGCACGTCGAAGCTCGAAGCCGAGTGATTTTGAGTAGGGAACCTTAAATCCATGTACTTAAATATGCCCCTTTCTCTATGATGATGATCTGTAGTCTTTTGGACCATGTCTAAGGATAGTCTCCTAGTATTTCTGTTTGAAAACATTTTTTTAGAGTAATTGGGGGAAAATGAAGCCTATATGTTTGTAGGGTGTGGGTGAATATATATAGTAGTATAGGTGTGTGGTTAATAATAGGTACAACGGTCTCATTGTATTGTTTTTGTATTAAAGGGTGATAGGTGGTGAAAAAATTGAAACCCAACTAATGTTTGTAGTAAAGTGTGTGCTATTAAATGAACCGTGTGAAATGGGGCACACTTATTTTGGGGACTCAATTGAAGGATATGATATGAATATGATGCCATAATCCATTGTTAGGTGGTTTCAAATTGGAGCATATTGAATTCTTTCTATCCTCAATTTTGATATCAAACTGTTGGGCAGACCTAACCTAACCATTAGACAGTTCAAAGCGATTATATATATTTTCATACACAAGTGACAGGCTTTTAAAAAAACAACATGAATAAAAGTATGACATTTCATATTTTAGACAGTCTAACGGTTAGGCTGCCTAACATAAGAATATGTGTTTGTCAAAAAATAAGGCTGCAAACAAGACATGTACCAGGGATAGGGACATGTAATAATCAAGCACATGAGCTACAATTTAAGTTGCTGATAAATTTTTGGTCCTGGCTTCATGACTTGCATATGATCCAATCCATATAAAAGAAAANAAAAAAAAAAAAAAAAAAAAAAAAAAAAAAAAAAAAAAAAAAAAGAAGAAGAAGAAGAAGCAGATTGAGCTAATTTTTTTGGTCCTGAATTCATGACATCCATTCAATTTTTAGTTGGTGTTCCCAGTTGTGGAGGCAAAAGAAAAAAGAGTGCTACATCACTTTTCATTGAATAGGATATAAGGCTTTTTGTGGCTCAAGTAAAAAAATTAAAGGTCTCTGTGTCATTTTAGCTAGTCTGATTTTTTCATGTGTGTTGTTAACAAGTCATGTGATTTTCCAGCTTTTGTGTGGTGACCAAAGCCCCAGTTAAAATCTCATTTTTCAAGGACAACTGAAAAACTTTCCATGTTGATTTCTTGTCGAAAATGAAATTTCTCTTTTGCTGGCTGTCGACATTTTGATGGGATCGGGCAACTTCTTTTGGCTCTTCAAAACTTTTGGGGATTCAAACAGTGACATCATTTTTTACTTTCTCTTGAAAGCTTTTTAAGGAAATAAAACAAATTAATCTCATCAAGGAAACTATCAGTTTTAAGAAGACTGCGGCTAAACTAGACCTTCCAATAGATGTATACTAGTCAGTACCCCGTGCAATGCACAGGAACAATATTAAATTAACAATATTATAAATAGATCTCGAGTTTGAGTCACTGACGGAAGTGAAAACTACTATTGATCCTATTTAAAAAGAGGAAGAAAAAAATAATAATTATAAATTAGGAAGATAAACAATACTTAATAATTATAAATTAAAGATTCGGGGTCAAACAATGTAAAACTATTTTGTATAAGAAAATATGAAATTTACATTATTTTATATAAGAGAATATAATTGTATGTTTAATATTAAAAGCACCTAAAATATTATATTAGTATATATGTAAAAGTATTCAAAATTTTCTATATTATTTTTGAAAGATGTGAAGTCACCTACAACTTTTCTAAACAATTTTAGAAGGAAAACATATCTAAGAACATTTAAATTTAACATTGTGTAAAAGAGATTTTTCTAGACTATTTTGTAAACAGAACATGTCTACAAATATTTAAATTTAATATGTGTATATGTACATATATATATATATGCGTATGTTCTGTATAGTTTTTTAGAGATAATAATTCAACACGTGTATTTGTTTTAGGAAATGAATAACAATCTTAATATCAGTTTTGAATATTGATAAGGTGTATGAAATATCTTCTCCTTATAATACGGATTTTGTTTTTGAATCTTAAAATTATCCCAAATATCTTCTCCTTGTAATAAGATTTTTTTTTTGTTCAATTTATCATTAAAAAATATGTTTAAAAGGCGTGTGAAATGAGATTATTTCGTTACCATAAAAAATTAATATGTGATAAGGATGCTGAAATGGAATTATCTCGTTACCATAAAAAATTATGATATTAATGAGGCGTGTGAATTGAGGTTATTTCATGAAAATTAAATCGGTATAATTAATGAGTTTAAAAGGCGTGTGAAAAGGACATAAATGCTGCGTGTGAAATGGACATAAGAGTTACATTTTGGAAAGTAATAAATGCAAAACTGACTTTGACCATTAATTAAGTTACTAATTTTGATAAATGTTAATTCTTATTATATAAATATAGATATATATATATATATTCATGTGCATCATTCTCTGTATTGATATAGAGCTCAAACATGTGACCCAAAAAGCATTCAATGATCATACAGATTATGAAAATTTATATAATAAGAAAGCAGTAAAAATGGTTCAAAAAATGAGCAACAATAACAACATTTAAGCAAAATGAACATTAATTTTATAAAATTATGTAGTTATAATTGTTTTTTCTTTGCAAAAAATAATGTGGTAACTATATGGGAAAGAGTAAATGTTTCAGGAATAATTGCACAATATATATTTTTAATTAAGGATAATATTTCTTTAATGATATGAAGAT